GAGAGAGAGAGAGAGAGAGAGAGAGAGAGAGAGAGAGAGAGAGAGAGAGAGGAGACAAAAAGAATACTGGGAATTGAACCTATGGGTGCTCATCACTAAGCTACATTCCCAATTTTTCTTATTTTTTGAGACAGAGTCTCCCTAAATTGCTGAGGCTGGACTCGAACTTGCAATTATCCTGCCTCGGCTCCCTGGGCAGCTGGGATTATAGGTGTTCACTAACACACCAGGCTATCTCAAAGTTTTTTGTTTGGTACAGGGTTTTGAACTCAGGAGCATTTAACCACTAAGTCACATCCCCAGCCTTTTATTATTATTATTATTATTATTATTATTATTATTATTATTATTATTATTATTTAGAGACAAGGTCTCACTGAGTTGTTTAGGGCCTAAGTTACTGAGGCTGGCTTTGAATTCATGATCCTCCGCCTCAACCTCCGTGAGCCACTGGGATTACATGCATGCGCAACTGCACGCCCAGCTTGAAGTTCTTAATTATGTGTTCTGTAAGAAAATCTAAACAATGGAGCATGTGTGCAGGCGTAGAGCCTCAGCTCACATATGGTGCTACTTCCCTCTACTTCTCTAGACTCCCCAGGATGGTTCTCCCCAGGATGGTTTTTATTTAACCTCTTTTTTTCATACCACACAACCATTGCCTTTCAGCAGGGGCCTGGGCACAGGCAAAGGCAAGTTCTGGACTGGGCATCTGGGTCCCAGGGCATGGCAGCAGGTGTCCATGAGCAGCCCCATGACATGTCTGACAAGCAGCTAGCCAGCGGCCATGTCTTAAAAAGAGTACCCTGACTCAGAGATCCTATCTGCCATGGGTTGGGGTAGTAGGCCTATGGGAAAGGTAGATGCCTGGCTAGACTTCTCCAGATCTGGCATTGTGCCCCTTCTGGTTGGCTCAAGGCACCCTTCAAGGACAAGCACAAAGTATGAATTGGATAATCCCAGTGATTCCACAAGTTAAATGCTCTCACATTTATACTTAAATCTGTCATTGCACAAAATAAAGATGAATGGCAAATTTCATGTTGTTTGCTTTTAATGCTTCTTAGAACATTGAACAGCAAATAATACCACCTTAAGCAGAGAGAGACCTTAGAAGAAAGGGAAAAGCTTTGTATGTACCTTTAATGATAACTTGTTTCCCACGTTTTGAACAAAAGCCTCAATTTTCACTTTGGAGTAGGACTTGCAAATTATATAGCTGGCCAGAAGTATACATAACATTTATGTCAAAATGATCCTGTTAGGATAATCTCTGGATATAACACAAAGGCATAATAATCAGTTTCCAACTGTGTTTGGCTAGTGTCACTTGTCGTTGATGGAATGATGATACCAACTATATAATAAACCTACATATAAAAGAAGCTATTTTCTCTTGTCTACTATTATAATTATTTGTGTGGGTGATTTTGTTTTATTTTTGCTTTCTTGCTTGTCCAAACTTTTTTTTTTTTTTTTTGGTCTATTATTAACTCTTGATGACTTCATCTTATTTCATTATACACTAAAAGGATTAGCATTGCCAGGAAAAAAAAATGTGACAGGTACAGCAAAGACTGCTAATTCATATTAAAAGTCAAACTTTAAAAAATTCATTAAAATCCAAATTAGTTTCCTTCAAGGGTGGGAGGTATGTCCCAGCAATTTTTTTACACAGGTCAGGTTTCTCATGAGTGGTACTGTTGGCATTCTGCTGTCAGAAATTGTCCTGTGCACTGTAGAATGTTGAGTGGTATCACTGGACCCTACCCACTGGACATAAGCTCCCTGAGTCATGATTATCAAAAAGGTCTCCAGATTTGCCAATTTCCCCCCAGGGAACAGAATCACCCACTTTAAAACTGCTAGCTTCTATGGACTAACAAGATGGATGTTAAGGTTCTAGAGTAGCTCCCTTGAATAAAAGATCCATATTCTCTTTCCTACCTTACAAACCTATCATCATAAACTCACACGCTTCCAACTGAGATCAACAAATACAAGAGACATAAATGTAAGAAAACTAAAGAATTGTTTTATTAGTGGGATAGAGGTGGACAAACAACAGCCAGCTCATATGCTATTAAATAGAATAAAAAGGAATAAAAGATTGCAGACATCACAGTGATGAATTTCCACAGACAATAGATTTACACCACATGGAATATTTATATACAAGATGTCTTGATATTAGTGACCAATTTATATTCAATCTCTTTTTCTAAGTTCAAGAACGTTCAAAACCTCAGACTTTAAATTTAAAACTATACATGACAATTGTAAGCACACACCCCTCATTTAAAACTTCTTAATAACTACTATTCCTGAGTAAAGACCTTTTTCCCCCTTAACATTATTGTTTTCCCCAAGATCTCAAAGGTCACATCTCATACTCCTAGAAGTAATTACACACAGGATTAAAAGCCCAACCAAGAAAGTATCATTTCTATAAAGTTGTTCCTAAGAGAAAAAAAATAAAAATAAAGACATAGACATCTTATACAATTGTTGCTGAAAAACAGCAATATTAATCCCAAAATACCATGCTTACTATACAAAAAGGCGTGGCTCATGGAACCAAGTATATCAAGCTACAGCAGTTGAATATCAATCTTTAAAGGGTTGGCTCTATTAAGTAATGGACACAGCTCTGTCTCTCTGCCAAGTTAGCGCATGCCCAAGATCTGTCTGCTTTTTAGTTGGTAATTTTTTTCAATATCTGACAGAGCTTGAGCCCGCAGCTGGGCAGCATGAAGCCTTTTCTTCAGATCCTTGCACTTGGATTTGGAGGTGAGCTGACTCTCCGAATTCTCATTTCTCATGATGTTCTCTTTACTTTCTCCACTGAAATGAACTTTCTTCTTAATTATTGAGGATGGGAAGTCAAGAAGTTCTTTAGAAAGGAAAAGAAAACAGGTTTGAGTTACTTGAATGGGAGTTCAACTCCTATACATGAATCATAATTTTCAAAAAATATTTACTCTCAGGAGGCTGAGGCAGGAGGAGTGTGAGTTCAAAGCCAGCCTCAGCAACGGTAAGGTGCTAAGCAACTCAGTGAGAGACCATGTCTCTGAATAAAATACAAAATAGGGCTGAGGGTGTGGCTCAGTGGTTGAGTGTCCCTGTGTTCAATCCCCGGTATTCAAAAAAAATTAAATAAAATTTACTGTTCTGGCTCACATTTGAAATGTGGGTACCTGTCTGATTTTCTCTGGGATAAGAGGTTAAGGGCATGGACAGAAACCAGCCAGTCTTTTTTGCTGTTGTTGCTGTTTTTCCTCGGTACTGGGATCAAACCCAGGGACACTCTACAATTGAGCTACATCCCCTTTTTGAGACATGGTCTCACTAGGTTGTCCAGGCTAGCCTTGAACTTGCTGTCCTCCTGCCTCAGCCTCCTGAGTAGCTAGGATTTCAGGTATGTCATCACTCCCAGTACCAATTAGCCTTTTAATCTATATGACTAAAAACAAACCAAACATAAGGAACAAACATTTCATTCATTCATTCATTTTGCAGTGCTAGGAATGCAGTGTGTGCCAGGCAAGTACTCTACCACCAAGCTAAGCTCAGCCTGTTTTATTCCCACAATAGTCAACTTTCCTCTTAGGGTTATAACCACTGGGGATGATGCGCACAGTATAATACTTCTGGAAATCAGTGTTTTTATCTCTGCTCTGGAAAACCAGTGCCATTCTAGGTAGGATACCTTACTTTCAGAAAAGCACAGAAGCAGAGGCTCTTGCTTGTGGGGAAACCTGCAATTTAGGTCAAGTGTGTAGTTCAAAGTAGATCAACTACCCAGAAATTTGTTTCAAAAAGAACCTAAAATGCTGTATGGACAAGGTAAATCAAGTAATGGTGCACTAAAAAATGCAACCTGTGCTTTTCTTATGGAAAAATAATCGTATTTACTTAGAAAAGTAACACTATTAACCACTGACAGAATTTGGTGGGGATTAGAGGCTTGCAGGTTTCAATTCAAGAGGCTTCTTATTTCTCCTTTGTAGTCACTTAAAGGAAATATGTTTAAATATTTACTGAGTTCATAGAATGGGCCATTGTGAACCAAACAAAGGCCCTATTCTAGTAGGAGGAGACAAATGATAAACAAACAAACAAACAAACAAGTGCGGAGCGATGTGATCGGTGTGCTATAAGGAAGATAATACCAACATGGCCTGCTGGGTGGTGGTGGCAATATTGAGAGAAAACTTCAGGTGAATGCTGAGCAAAAAACAGGACAAGGGTGAGGAAGAAAGAAACCACAGAGCTGTCTGGATAAAGAAGAGACAGAAAGGTTGCTACACAGAGCCCTTCCTTCCTCAGTCCCCTGACTTCCTCCATGTATTGTTTCTACTTCAAAGCAAAGGAATTGCTTTCAGACTTTAACTCCATGGGCTCAAAAAAAAAAAAATTTTTTTTTTTTAAGTACTGGGGATTGAACTTAGAGGACTCTACCATTGAGCTACATTCTCAGTCCTTTTTTAGTTCTGAAACAGTTTCACTAAGTTGCCCTGGCTGGCCTCAAACTTGCAATCTTTGCTTGTGCCTCGGCCTCGCAGATGGCTGAGATTACAGGCCAGCAGTTGGGATGATAAGCATGTGCATCCACCTGTTATAACCACAAATACTTACACATTTGTAAATTAACATAGGGTTTACAAGAGAATAGTTAGAAAAAGAATACTATTTTGTTCAATAGAAAAAAATGAGTATTTTATTAAACAAAGGATAGCTTTAGCAAAGATGCAACTGCGTACTGTGAAATGAGTGATAGTTAGAAAAAAGAAACATTTTAAGGGATGAAGCCCATATTTCATATAATCGATTTCATTTACTTCTATCAAGAGTTTATCTATCACTTAGTCACTAAAGTTATTGCAATCATCAGACTAACTTAAGCAAGTTTTTTATTTGCCTCATTTACAAAATGCTGTCACACTAAACTGATCTGATTCTCTCCCAAATTATTAAAGATGCAAATGGCAGCCTTCATATATGCATGCTATTCTACATGGAATAAGGGAGTCATAAGAACTCTGATGAAGTTTCATTGAACATGCAGATGCTAAATTTTTAAAACCAACACAAAACTTTGAATACATAATTTGTGTCATAAAGAAATTAAAAGAAAAGACATCTAGCATTCTGCATTTTCCAAAATTCTAGACAGCAGACTAAATTAGATCTGTAAAAAATGAAATGGAAAAAGGCAAGTGAGAGGATCCGTCGGTGTAGCCAATTATCACAAGGACAGAGCAGGGACAACGCTACACGAAGGCAGCGCAGTGAGCAGGCTGTCTGCACCCAAGCTCTGAAGTGGGGCGGCTCGCACAGTTGTGCACACATTAATCATATTTCAACAAATACATGTCTCAATTTGAAAGGGTCTAAAGCAAAGATTCAAAAGTCATGGTCAATTCTGCACTTGACTTCTATGTCTTTTAAGCCACACTCTATTGTTGAGGTGTGGCAGTATTAAAGTGTTAGGGTTTTTGCTTGAAAATAGAAATAGAATTTTGATAATATAACCAAAGAAAAATTTGAAACATACTGTTGTAAAAATGTCTTCATACTAAAAAATGAATATCAAATACTAAACATGTAGTTTAATAAGGTAAATAAAATTGAAGATGAAAGCATACGACTCACTGCCTCAAGTCTATGAACCCAGTAAATAAATCACTACTATAATAGAATTTTATTTCCATTGAAGCATATATATTCAGTGAAATTTATCTTAAGATTTGAGACTTTGTAAAATGAAAAAGAGCTACCAAGGCCACCTTGAGGGTATCACTGATGTGCACATCTTCATTTGTAGCACCAACTTCTGCACACCGAGCTGACTCTCATACCTGGAGTACTCGCCAGAGAGAGGAACTTCTGCTCCTTCAGCAAGCTGTAGTTCTTCACCAGATTTTCTGCTCTAGCCAGTTTGTCCTCTGCTAGTCTCTCCCGAACACAAAGTTCACGTTCCTTCTCTTTAAAAATGCAATAGGAAAAAATGAACAAAGAGCTTTGGCTATAAAACAATTTACATTTGGTAATCTTTTCTTATCATTCTAATTAGCATGCCTGACCACGGCAGAGTAATGTTTTGTGAAAGGTTTCTTACTGGTTTCTTAACCTAATCAACCAGATCCTGCATTTTTAATTTAGTGTAATAGTAGGTCATAAGTTATTGTATGTTTTCTTGTTAGGAACTTGTTTAAGTACAAATACAAAGTTTTTACTTGGTCAAGTTGTGTGGAAATAATTCATTTGGGAACACAAAAACAAAAGCCATTTCTGCTCTCCAAGGCAAATAGGCAAAAGCTAGTTTCCAGGGCACTCCCTGGTCTTATAGCACAAAATCTCTTTCTTCTGGTTCAGCGGTAGCACCAAACTGGAAGGGGAAAAAACATAACTGAGTTAAGGGGCGACTCTTTAGGTTAGAAACAAAGCCTACTTTCATTCATGGCCCAGACTTCAGAGAAAGAGGTGTGTGTGTGTGTGTTTAAAGAGTTCTTTTGACAAGAGAGTCAATAAAAAGTCTCCAGATAAGCACAAGCTATCCCTATACAGTGAGCATATCTCACAGCACTATACAATGTTATTATCATTAGGAAGCAAAACATTAATGAACACACTGCTTGATAAGAATATTTAAATAGAAAAGCATTTGAAGTCTGCATAGGGCATAAGGCCACAGAAGTGAAATCAGGGGTGTCATGAGGATAGCAGGAGACGCACATAGTTCCATCCCTGTCTCTGAATGTTAAAATGGAGACTCACTGCTATTGCTACCTGGTGTGATTCTAAGGCGCTGGTAGTTAACTTTCATCCTAGTGGAATAGATAGACTTCCAACCTCAAAAACTAATTAGCATCAAATCAGTTAATACTAATCACATCAATATTAACACTCATCACAGTAATATTTATAATTCTAGAATATCTTGCACCTATATTCTCCACAGAATTGCCTAAACATACCCAGTCTAATACTGTCGCATTTTAGACCGTTTTGACAGAAGGCAGCACATTGGAAGACCTTCCTTTACAATGGAACAAACCTTAAGATGTTTATAGCAAAGATGAAAAAAATAAGTAATTGCACAATAAAGTACAATGACTGTTGTGTTAGGTCCAACCCAGTTAATACCCAAGAAATATATGACTAACAACTGTCTCCAGAGAAAGAAGTCCAACATGAAAGCGTCATCAAGCTTGGTTATTTAGTTAAATGTTCTGGTTGATAGAAGGTTCTAGTAGGACCTATACATAGAAACTATTGTGTTATGTACACACATCAGAGCAACCCACTCATAGCGCTACTCTGCTCCTCCCACACCACGTGGACTTACGCTCCAGCCTTTCCTCTCTGGCTTTGAGGGCTCGCTCTCGCTCCTGTAACTGTATTTCTTTTAGTTTCAGCTCGTTCAGGACAGGAGTAGACTCCTGTGACTTTTCAGGCTCTCCTAATCGTCGCCCTCTCCTTTCAAGATGTTTTCTTTGTTCTTCTGCAACCAAGTCTGCTATCAAAGGGTTCTCAAGAATTTCTTCCACAGAAGGTCGATGGTAATCCTAGGGAAAAATATCAATGATACAGTCAGACTGCATAACAGAATATTTGTCCTGAGAAAGTAGTTACACTAAAAGGGTATATATTTCCAAGGCAAAAGGGAAGATTGTTCAAAGAGACAGGTCTTTTTTTTTTAACCAGGAATTGAACCCACGAGTACTTAACAACTGAACCAAATCTCCAGCCCATTTTCATTTTGAGACAGGTCTTCAGTTGCTTAGGGTCTCACTAAGTTGCTGGGTCTGGCTTTGAACTTGTGATCCTCCTGCCTCAGCCTCTCAAGCCACTGTGCCCAGCTACAGAAATAGGTCTTAAACATCTGAAAAAATAAGTTCACTCGTCTTGAAGTTCTGAGTCCATAAGGTAATGCAGATTTTTAATTTACTCCCCTTTTACCCTCCCCCTTTGTAAGAAGGCTCAGTCCCTTTGGTACACTGGTGCTGGTGCTTCACAGCACGGCTGGGTCTGCTGTAGAAGAAGCACCACCTTTGAATGTCTAAACCACAGGTAACAGGATCCCTTCCCACCAACCTTCACTTCCTCTGTATCCCTGTTATAGCACTTCCCTTCCACTCTTCACATCAGCCTAGTCTCAGAACATATCTTTCACCATCCCACGGTCTGAGTTTTTCCACAAAATCTCTTTATTCAAGTTCTTTTTCTTCTACTCTAATTATTTCTAGCCCCTTTCCTGACCACCTGTTACATTCATGTAGGCAACAACCAGGGGAACTGAGGATTTGGATCCTTTCTGTAATCTTTCCTCACCACAGACCATCTGTTAGCAAGGAAGAGAGTGGAGGAAAAAGAAAGCAAGCACAAAAGGTAGGCTGGCAAGCACCTGTGATTTACCAGATTTACATGTTTTCACTTGTGTTAACAGAGTATATTTAGCTAAGGAAATATTTTCTTTAGTCTCTATCACTTTAAAAGAGAGAATATATACTCCAAATTTTAATTGAGAGATAAAATCAGACGATATAAAATCTTATAGCCTTTACCTTTAAATTTAACATCCTCGTAATAATGTCATTCAATTCATCAGAATAACGATATGGAATTCTCCTGAATTTGCCTTCTCTGATCTTCCCGGCTAGTTCTTTTTGGTTGAAAGCAGTAAATGGAGGCCTGGGGTAAAAAATATAAGTAAAAACGAATGATGAAAAAAAAAAAAAAAACGAATGATGGAAAGGAAGGAAGAGAAAGAAAAGAAGGAAGGAAAGAAGAAAAATTTTTAAAAGAAAATAGATAATAGTAACTGAATCAAAAGCATAAGCACCATTGTATTTCTTTTTACTTCTGGGACTTCCTTCTACAGATAACTTTAATAGTACTACCTTCGTACTATTGACCCCTTGGGTTGTTAAGTCATGCTGGCGGGGGTGGGGGTTATCCTGTGCTTTGTAGGATATTTTGTGGTATCCCTGGCCTCTCTCTACCCACTAGCACACTCTAATTGTGACAACCAAAAATATCTAGATATTGCCAAATGTTCCATGGGGGACAAAAACTGCTTCCCCACAAATCCTGTAGAAGAACCACTGTGCTATAGAATAGTTTAAAAGGAAAAGAACTGGACCTCTTTCCTATCCTCCAAATCCCCAGACCTCTCCTCTTGATCTGTTTTATTTCTTCCTGTCCTTGTAATAGCTTTACATTATCTGCCTGACCTTGAATAAGCATAAGTCTAACAAGAAAGCATCTAATAGTCAAGACCTTTAATAAAGTCAGGACCCAGGGGCTGCAGTTGTGGCTCAGCAGTAGAGGGCTTGCCTCACACATGTGAGACACTGGGTTCGATCCTTAAAAATAAATAAATAAATAAAGGTATTGTGTCCATCTACAACTAAGAAAAAAACATTCTAAAAAGTAAGTCAGAACCCAGCTTCATGGATGATATCTTTTTTAAAAAAATGTTTATCTACTTTACTAAAAGAATTTGATAGTTCTTCAGATGTGAATATGTTTTAATTAGCATAGATGCTCAAAAAGCTGGACCCAATGAAAAGTGACAGTGTAAACCTTAGACTAGGAATCTGACTTTATTATACTTACATTAATGCACATAATTCATACAGCAAACAACCCAGTGACCATATATCTGATTTCTCATTATAGGACATGCGATTCATTTGTTCCTAGAAGGGGGAAAAGGTAAAAAAGTTAAATAAAAGTTCTTGTTGGCCAGGCATGGTGGCACATGCATGACTGTAATACCAGTGGCTCAGAAGGCTAAGGTGGGAAGATCAAGAATTCAAAGCCAGCCTTAGCAACTTAGCAAGGCCTAAACAACTCAGTGAGACTCTGTCTCTAAATAAAATATTTTTTTAAAAGGGATGAAGATGTGGCTCAATGGTTAAGCATCCTTGGGTTCAATCCCCTATACAAAAAAAAAAAAAAGTTTATTTGGTTTTTAAAATTTTATAAAACTTTTAAAAATTATACCTGAGTAGAAAACGAAACTCAAAGCTTGGTAGTATTTACTTGAGAGGAGAAAAATGTTATAAATATTTTATTTATAGCAATAACTTCAAATACAAAAGACTAATTCAGTTTATGAGACAATAACAAAAGTGTATACTTTATCCTCACATTTATAATGGAAAGGCTAGGGATGTGGCTCAATGGCAGAGTGCTTGCCTAGCATGTACAGGGCCTTGGTTTCAATCCCTAACACCAAAAAAGCAAAATTTATAAGGGGAAAAGAACAACAATCTTGTCCCAATATACTTTGTCATATATAATTCATTCTCTTATTTTCCATTCACAAGTGAAAATGTTTACTGTTGGATAGATATTAACCATTCAAAATTGAATATAAAAGATCTCTATCCTCAAGGCATAATCTAGAAACTCTATTTTTTTGAGAAAGGGTTTTGTTAGGTTGTTCAAGCTAAACTCGAACTCCAAGGCCCCCCCAAATCATCTTACCTCAGCCTCCTGAGTAGCTAGGACTACTAGTATAGGTGTGTACCATTGAGTCTAATTAGAAACCTCATTTATTTTATTGAATGATTGATTACAATGCTGGAAATTGAATCCAGGGGCACTCTCTACCACTGAGCTACCAACCTCTCCAGTCCCTTTTATTTTTTATTTATTTTTTATTTTTTTTATTAGTTGTTCATGGACCTTTATTTTTATTTACTTATAAGCAATGCTGAGAATAGAATCCAGTGCCTCACACATGCTAGGCAAGCGTTCTACTACTGAGCCACAACCCTAACCCCTTATTTTTTGAGACAGGATCTCACTAAGTTGCCCAACATGGTCTCCAACTTGTGATCCTCCCGCCTTAGCCTCCTAAGTAGCTTGGATTACAAGTGCTACCGTGTCCAGCCACAAACTTCAATTTAAAAGAAACAGAGAAATTCCAGAATAACCAAAACATATTATTTAGCCCACATTTAAGTGCATACATAAATAGCTAACTGGATTTATATATTCATTTATATATTTTTCCTTAATCCACTGTATAAGTCAAAGCAATCACTAATATTCTCATTACCTATTTTAATTGTTTGCCCTTCTTCTATACCTATAGTAACAATAGTCTACCATAGCTGAGGAGGGACTGAGGGCAAGTACCAAAATCTCCAGGAGGCCGATTAGTGTTTTAAAACCCAGCTGGTGAGTCTGATATCACTCCTTGACAATTAATGACTTAGAGGAACCAAACTTATCTAATTACAAGGACAGGAAAAAAAAGGGAACAAAAGAATTGCATAGGTTTCAAATTTTCCACCATTTTTGGATAATCTTTCTCTATGTTAAAGCCTTTCAATTTGGAATTTGATACAGTGAGAAAATGGCACTGTTCTGGCTATGTCTGATCTTAATAAAAAAAAAATAATAAAATAAACTTGCAGTTTTATACTGCAGTCAGATGTTAGCATAATTTATAAAATATTGGAAAATTCCAGAAATGTTTGTAAGCTAATAAAAAAAGAAAAAACCTTTTCATCAATATCTGCTCAGATTTCATATATTAATACACTGATGCTGTTCCTTATTGATTTAAGGTCTTTAAAAGCCATCAGACCATCGTGAAAATCAAAGAGAGAACAACATTGTAGAGGAAAGGGACAGGAAGGAGGCTGGAAGGAGGGAAAGGGGAAATACTGAGGAACAATATTAGCTAAATCTTATGTTATGTGAATATGTAACAACAAATTCCAACATTATGTACATCTATGATGCACCAATAAAAAAATAGGGAAAATAAATAAAAGCCATTAGATAATATCTAATGACAGCCACAAACACTCCAAAGAAATAATCAAAAAGGAAGAAAGATATAATACATACAAGGATATGCATACAGTGCTCCTTTAGAAATAAAATATCCATCAATAGAGGCAATGGATAAAGTAAAGTGATAGACTTTCTATAAATGAATTTCAGGAAAAGGCAATAAGAAAAATTTTTTGGAAATTTTTTGAAATTGTAAAAACATGTTATCTGAAGTAAGTGAGCTTTGTGAGTCCCATATATCCAAGTACAAGAATCCAACTAGGGATAAAATACAGTGTCCAAGGACCTTTCCAGAGATCCATATTCACTGGGTATGAACTCAGGACCCAGGACTAACAAAACTTCAGAATGAGTGTGATGTAGGTGTGCCCAGGACCCATGCTTTGGAAAGCATTGTTGCTCTTGAAGGCAGGGACAAAACCCATTTCATCTTTGTTAATTCCAGAGCTTTGAACATGGTAATAGTTCAATAAAAACTGAATTCAATAAAAATTGAATTGTTGATACAGAGGAATATAAGGGTCAGGTGGTTAGTTTGGAACTTAAAATGAAACAGTATTATTAATTCTTGGCTAAATGCAAAGAAACCAATAATAAACCTTGCATTTGAATGTTTAGCATTAAGGAATTAAAAAGCATCTAAATTCTGAAATACTTACAGGAGACATGTAATAAGGTGTACCAACAAATGTTTTTGCAAAACTCGTATCATGGTTTAATATTCTAGCTAGCCCAAAATCTCCAAGTTTGACATTTTGCTTGCCATCCAGGAAAACATTGGCTGGTTTCAGATCCCGATGTAACACAGTATGACCACCATCACTTCTTCTGTGACACTCCTTCAGGGCTAGAGTCAACTGAGCCATCACTCGAAGAACAAAATCTTCATCTAAGTATTGTCTGAAACCAAAACATTTTTACAGCATATAATGTCTGAATAAATCATTACAAATAAGGAATGATGTGAATTATCTAGTTTTTCTTGTATACTAATAGAGAAATAATTACTTGATGCAAAATATGGGTATTGATTCACGAGTGATTTTTCTAAAGTATCATGAACCCACCAAATACAAGAACACTCTTCTATGTTACTAAGTACTTTGCCCCTGATCCTAACATAAGATTCTTAACAGCAACAAAACTAGACCCCTTTTCAGCTTACATCTAATATTATATTTCCCACTATTATTTATAATTATGAGGAAAAAAAGAATTAATTTAAAATGATTATATAGGCAATAAATGGCAGAGCTGACATTTAAAAAATGGAAGATTATAATTACCTTTCCTTGGTTCCCTTTGTAATCACACTAGCCAGGTCCCCTCCTTCACAGTATTCCATTACAATGTACAGCGTTGTATTGGTTCTGTCAATAATTCGATCATAATAGCGGACAATGTTTGGATGTTTCAGTTCACGAAGCAAATTCACTTCAGAAACAAGCATCTGTTTCTCAGCTTCTGTCATAGAGCCATAGTCAAGTTCTTTCCAAACTAATATCTGAAATAAGAAAATGTCCGAGGTATGAATGAATTTGTTATGCTCAAAACAAAGAATGGAAGTTCCAAAAACTAAAAAAAAAAAAAAAATTGCCTCCTTTTTAAACATATTCCACAATCCAAAGTCATGATCATGTTATGTAGTTAAATAAACTTCATGAGCCCAGATTATTGCCATAATCTTCCTCTACTTTTTAAGCAGTAAATGATGCTACAGGGGGAGGGAGGCGGATGAGGCACAAGGGGACTCCCTCAACCCCTTATTCTCAGTTGCTTAATAGGAAATTGGCCAAAAAGTACTTTGGTCACAGTCAGAGGACGGGTATCCAAAGTCCCTGACTATTCCAATCGGTCAGGCAGCTTCCTCTCCAATGTTTCTTTCTGCCCAAGCTCTACCTAAACGCATGGGGAAAGAGGAGTCTGCTAACCGGACTGATGGGTGTTTTAAATGAGTTTTGGCTGCAGATACAAAGCTTCAGGCCTGGTGGTCCTGCCCCTCCATGGCACGTGGGTCCTACTCTCATCTCTAAGAATAGCTCAGGACTGAGTTAGCTGCCACCGACGGAAAACCAGGAGCAAGCCAAAGCTGGAGAAAGGGAGGAAACGGGACAGAAAATAACGAACAAAAACCGGATATATGTATTATATTTTAAAAAAAGGCCTCCCATCTCTTGAACGATCCAGGACAAGCTGTCAATCTGTCAATCGCAGACCCCGGGGAGACCGACAGCCGAGACTTTCCGGCACCCACCACCAGAAGCCCGTCGGTTCCTTCGCGCAGGGCCCTCGCCCCGGGCTACCGAAACCTCAGCTGGAGCCGGGACACGCCGGGGCCCCGCGCTCACCTTGCCGTCGCTCTTCCTCCGGATCTTTTGGCAGCGGCCATAGGAGCCCGTGCCGATGGTGTACAGCACTTCGTAGTCCTCCACCCGGGACGGCATGGCCGGGCCGCCGCGGGACTCGCGCTGACCCGGCAGGTCGCGCCACAGCCACGGCAGCCCAGAGTCCCGGAAAGGGAACCGACCCGCCACCCAGGCCGCGGGCAGCGTTTAACCGTCGCCAGCCCCGGCCTCGCAACCTATTGGCAGACGGGGAGGTATCTTCGCCTCTCTGATTGGCTAAGAAAAACAACACCCTAGGCATCTTGGGAAAAGGGTGTCGCTAAGCAACCGCGTCGGCGTCAGTGTCCGGCCTTCAACCCCTAGGAGAAGAGGGCGGAGCTAAGCCAAAGCGGGAATCTAGGAGAAGAAAAGCAATCGCCGCAGGGAGCCTTGGACAGTTCTGTCCCTTGATTGAGGTCGCCGAGCTAACTGAGGTCCGAAGGCCTCTCAGCCCCCGTTGCACACCACCAGATCCAACTGCCTTCAGACTTTTCCACTCTGACAGCTCGCACTACCTGCCTTCCTCTGCACAACGCCCGCCTCTAGCAAGTTCCGGAACCCTGAACCTGAGATAAGTATAGGTGAAAACTTAGAACCCTCACCGAAGGATGCGTGGACCAGTGTTTACTATGCTATCAGGGCTGTACTAAACACTACATCTTTATTATGTATTCATCAACTCAAAGCTATAAAGAAGAAATGAATGTTATTACTATTTCCCATGAGGAAAGGGAGGCACAGAAAGGTTTAATCATTCGCTTCAGGTCCAACAGCCAAGAAGAGAAGAATTGCTGCAAAAATAGTCAATACTCATAGCAGTGATTTAAAGTTTACACATAACTTTGAGGTCAGTCATCATACATTATTTCTGAACACCAGATTTACAGGCCTGTTCAACCTACAAAGGAGGTATAGAATGTGGAAGTCCCTGATGTATGGAAATATTCAGGAGAATATGGTGGCCCTAAGGCAGGGAAAGTCAAGACTACCAAATAATCCAAATAATGTATCTGGGATGCCTGACACGTAACTTCATTGAATACAGTCTCCTTTGGGCATCCACAGAAATCATCGTACTCATAGCTCACACAGCCAAATAGAACAGTCCCATTTTTACCTGGGAGAGGGGACCTAGAGGCTTCCATCTGGAACTTGTTGAAGAAATACATGCATTGTCAGAAAGCTAATAATTTGGTAATGAGTAAATAGGTCAATTTTCTTTAAATATCTGTTCAGCATGGGATTGAAGGGAACCTGACTTTCTATTAATAAGAATTACAAACCTCTTTATGTTAAAAATAAATAATTTATTACATGCACCAAATACAACATAATTGGAATTGTTAGCCAGGAGAATTATTAAATTAACATTCGAGGGCACCGTCTTACCTCAGAGGAATAAGACCCATTTAGGTTTTGAAAGTTATGTAAGGAGTTACAAATGACTGAGGTCATGGGCATCATATTTTTTTCAGTGCCTCTTTACAGATTGGTATCCATGGTATTCTTTTGTTGGCTTGTCCCAAATCCAGTCCTATGCCTTCTTTCTGGCCACTCTTATGCTCTTATTCTGCCCCAAATCCAGCACTTTCTCAAATAATTTACCTGGGATGCACATCACCATCACCACCTTTGCATCTACTATTCTTCACTCCCCAACCCCCATCATGTCTGTCCACAGGCACAACTTGTCTTTCAAGATTCAATTCTACCTTTTTCTCCTCTACTCTGAGAATCCTCCTGGACAGTCAATTCCTCCATCTACAGTATTCAGTGACCACTTTGTACATAAATCAACACTAACTTATTTTTGGCATTATTGGTTTCACAGTAGCTAAACCCCAAGCTCCTTGTAGCCAGCATAAGTCCTGGAATAAAGAAGGCATGAAATAAAGTTTTGTTAAGTGAAAACTCTGAGAAATCTGCTTACTAATAATTATGCAAGGATTTGGAGTGAACCCTCAATTACTTAGTTTTCAAATGCCAATGGCTCCGTGGCAGAGACGAAATATCTGGAAAAAGCCATCCCAAGAGTATGGAAAGCAGCTCCTAGGTATATGTGTTCATTCAGCTAGTACTGAGCACCTACTATGATCCAGGTATAATGATAGGCATTGATATGCTATGTGTTCATGAAGAACAGAGAAAGAGGGAGCAGGGAAGGAAGCAAAGAGAGGGAGGGAGGAAAGAAAAAAATTGATTCAGACTCCCAGCAACTCAGGAGACTGAAGCAGGAGGATTGCAATTTCAAGGCCACAACTTGAGGCAGCCTTAAGGACTTAAGGAGACCCTGTCTCAAAACATTAAAAAGGGGCTGGGCATGTGGCTCAGAGTTAAGCACCCCTGGGCTCAATCCCTAGTACCAAAGGGGAGGGGGTAGAGAAAGAGACAATGAAGCCATAATGACAATAATAATGAAAAAAGTGGTATAGACATGGCATGACAAACTTAATTACTGCCCAGAGTTAACCACATCTTTGTGGGAAGGAGCATACAAGATAGCTCAGCGGAAACCAGTAGATTCCACAGCAGACACTGGAGACTCAGGAGCATGTGGAAATCAACTGGGGACATGTTACAGGAAACACTTCTCTGTTGAGGGCCACAGCCGAGTTGGGATGAAGCATGACATTTTGCCAGAAGGGAGTGGTTGAGAGGTGATGCCAGCGAGCCATTGAGATGTTGATGGTTAAGATAAGCTGTGTATTCAGTTATATATAGACCTTTGCTGTCCGGCAATAGGGCGGCTCTTGCTGCCCTACTTTGGAGCTCTCGAGGGTTCAGAGAGAGTACACATGGAGCCCAGTGGAGGGAGGTGGGTGTTCCCAGGGAGCGTGTGTGGAGTGCCGGTGAGAGTTCAGGAATAAAGAGTTGCTGTTTGAACCTACAAGTGCTTCGTGGCGGCTTGGTTATTTGTGCCCAGCCAAACTGCAGCACTTCTCCCCATCACTCCTTACCCCTCCCTTTATTATCCCATCTATATTCTCTCTCTCTCTCTCTCTCTCTCTCTCTCTC